TCTCCTAGAAAATTCGTAATTTTGGTGATGTTATAAAGATTTTATGCATCGCACTGGCTTCAACTATAGTGCTAATAGGTAATGCATTTATAGAGCACACCATTCGCAGACTATTACAAAGTAGAATGAACAATTTATGCTCATGCATGCTACCAAACTCGTATGATCTTCCCCAGAGGATGAGAACAACACATATCGGATTGCGGTACAAGAGAAAAAACTGGATAATTATCTGTATCTCCATTATTGTGTGTCTAGTGTAATTCACAATTGTTCGAAATAAATGAATGTCGCTTTAAGAGGCCGTGGAAGTGGGTTGTGCAGTATGTTCTGGCACATATGCAAACTCAAAAGAATTTTATTACGCGATATTGTGATTTGCATTGAGTTTGATCTACAATATGTACCTAATCAATGGAGAATGAGCAGTGTATTCCACCTTCATAAATCATGCGGCTTTCAAGGCAACAGAGCAGCACTATCCTGAGATGCCGCTTCCGTTTTCGAATGAATAAATGTGGTGGTGATTAGAAATTACGGAGCGCAAAACAAATTTTAACAGAAATGAGAAAGACGGGACGGGCACTTCTGAATGCCTTGTTGATGCATTGTTTTGTGCTAAAAACTCATGGCGCAGGGGGTGGTTGGTTGTTTACCCGAATAAAGAAGGGCATATTGTATGCCGTAGGGCAACATGCGAGTCAAAGTTGATTTGATTATGTTCTGAGCGACAATATTGTCTACATTTTGTAGATGATGTGGTGTGTCTACACAAATATATCTGACAGGTTATGTCGCTTTCAAAATTTTGTGTTAGTACTCTTTATACGGGAAAGAATGGGGAGGGAGTATGGGCTGGTGTGAAGATAAAGAGCGGTCTCACAAACAAACGAGACACAAGCACTGCTCTCCACCTCACTTCCCACCCGCACTTCCTTGCCTCTTTCAAAAATGGAGTCTTTGAAAATGGAAGCAGAGAAAAGCACATGTCCTATATTCATTTCGCTTCTTTGTATTCATTGTAGCACTTGCATCATAAGTCGCTGAGCAGTGTCCCCTCATGGGAGACGACTTAGCGCCTTTCTCCTGTGTTTCATGAATCACTATATGTCATTGGGACCTACATATATCGTCCACCTCTCTGTTACTCAAAAAAAAAAAAAAAAAGCAGTACATCACGCACGAAGACTGCGACCTCCACTTGCCCTATTTACGCGTTGAAAAGAGGCTCCTTCATTATTCACTTCTTTAATAGTAGCCTCAGGCCGGAAGGTACTACAGAGAAAAGTGGTACACATGATAATAAATAAATGTTAACAGTTACTTGGAAGCAAAAACAATACAAAGTGTTAGTTAATAAAAAATATACATAGCCAATATAACAGCATCGCTGTGAGAGTAAAAAGAAAATAAAATTCTTGTGATACAGTGTTAGCTATGTGAACAAACGGGGCGCACTGAAAGAACAGTATATTCAATATGTATGCTGAAAAACAAAACATTTACCAGTCCTCTTACATCTCCATGCTGTTCTCTCAGGCATTGCTGTTAAAAGTACCGAATTTTAGCTAAATAAGCAGAGAAGACACAGTAAAGTAGCTTTTTTTTTTTTTTTTTTTCAATTGTAGTTTTGGTTTTCACGTCGGTCGACGGGAAAAACTCTACCAACTCGTAATCACCTCCACGCTGCCGCCGGTCAAAACTGCCTCGCCACACACCTCTAATGCTGCCTCTGGAACTACAGAAAACCTTGGAGGCTGGAAGGCTTGGAACGGCAGCTACCACAAAAGCACGTGAAGCTGCCACTGTTTGAAGAGGTGTAAGAGAAGAATGCTGGGAATAAGCTTTTTGGCTCGCATAGCGGGCATCTAGTCTTGGAGCATTGTGTCTGAATTATACATGCTGTGCTCTATCACTCAAGCCCTAAGAATGGTTTGTTGCCCCATCTGCTTCCTTGAATACACATATTTAAATATATCCGGGAAGTGTAAGCAAGCACCACTCACAGTCATGGTGGCTGAAGTTGAACATTAATTAAACCGCAGGTATATAGAATCTTAGGGTCAGGAAGCTGGTCAATAAACTCTTGGTATGTTCAAGGAGAAGAATAAATGTTTATTGTACAAACAGGATTGTCACTGGTGGCTAATTTTGCCAATTGGCTAATTTGAGGGCCCGGTCATGGCAACCTAAAATTAGGATGGCGACATGGCTAATTTGGTGATTTCTGGCTTAGCTGTCGACCTGAGTAATGCATTCTATGTTCAGTGTCTGAAACGAATGGGCAACGACATCTTTTAAAAATTTTTCAATTTTAGGCCCTCCAGTAGACAGCGAAACTTTCTGCGGCAATTCAGCGAGTCTGTCCTGTTTCTCAATTCACCTATATCTTGAGGCACTGGTGTACTGCTCTGTTCGCGAGCAACCTCCCAGCAAAATTTACGTCAATGGAGTGCTTCGCATACTGTAAACTGGTTATATAAGTTTTTTAGCTGCTTTAAGAGTCTTGAGCTTCTTTAAAGTTTCGCTTCTGAGTGCTAGGTGACGGTTCGGACTACAATTCTAACTGTCCTCAATAGCTTGTTGACTCACTGCGTAGTACTCCATGATTTATTATGTAGAGTTAACATACATTTCGGGCCAGCCAAGGGGTCGATTTTTTTAGCTGCCTTCAAAACTGTATTGAGGCAAATGTGTAGCGTAAGCATGACTACAAAAAAGTGGGTGTGGGCATTGGCACGATTATGCAATCCTTTTGAATTATTTATGTTGTTTTTGTAATTAAGTTGACAGTATTGTACTGCAATGATATTCTCTAAAATCTGCAGGAAAGCTATGCACGCTGTCTCTCTCTTGTTATAGCGATTGTGTCACCCTGTATTCATACAGCTGAAACATCACAACCTTTTATTATGAGGCACTAGACTTCAGCTATGTAGCTGGTGCATGCATGCCCTTTCTCAGTGCTCCTATGGTGAAAGCGGGTGATGGGACTCCAAGCCCAGTGAGCCCTCTCATAGTGAAGTGTGTAATTCAACTGGCATTGAAAAACGTCAAAATTTGGACGTAGTCCTTTACACGCCTGTATTAGGCCTGGAAGACGTGGCCAAAAAACAGTTACCTCCGAGGCGCAGAACCGACTCAAGGGTTATCCCACTAACGATGAAGATGAAGAACACTAGGTGATGATGGTTTTGTACAGGTGATGAAGAAGCGTGCTTTAAATGCCACAATATAATTTAGGGTTTATGGATGGTACTGTATTCCAGGGGACAATACATAATTAGCAATCTTTATTACTAGGCTTGTCATACATATATTGATTGGAGACTTTTTTGGCATATTCAAAGAAGAATGGCGACTTTTCACTCACCATTTGGCGAATTTCACTGAAAAGTCAGTGGCAACCCTATGTACACACGCAGCTGGTGGAAGTTTGGGCTTGTTGGTTCGCAATCTGGCTGGTCTAGAACCGGACATGTAGCAACCGTGGTGGTACAACTGTTTATGCTATCAAATAATCAGTTTCGAAATACCTGTCCCAAAACTTGTGGTAAAATATATTAGTGGTGTGTTTCACTTTTTCCCAGATCGCTTCCTTAAAATGTAGCAGAAGACAAAACATTGCTAAATACTAGTGAACTTCAAGACCACATTGATTTAACTTTACTGGTTTATGGTATAATTATTCAAGTTAGTGGAATCGCCTTGAACACTGACCATCGTCTTTTCACTTGGACCTTATTGGACGAGAAGGTGCGCAGTATATTGAAATAAATAAATTAAAAATGCCATGAACCAATTAGTGAGAAGTTGTATAGTCAAGTTGGTGAAAGTCACACTGATTCTGAGGTCTGCCAACAAATATCCCTTGTCAAAAAAAAAAAAAAAGACTCCAAACAAAGGCGAAGTCTTTGGCTTCAATAAGGGAGGAAGAAGGAGAGGAATATGTTGCACATAGGTCCCGGCATACCGCAGTCTTGCTCCTTTATGGAGCACATGGGAAAGGTAACTGACCTTGTACTGCTGCTTGATGACATCCCTGAGATATTGCTGTGGTTAAGTGCTCCCTGAATGACTCTTTAAACTCCTGTGTAAGATTATAATGCGAAAGCATGAAAGAGCTCATTTTGCAGAATTGTTGGCATCAGCGATATTGGTTGTGAGCGAAAAGTCATTATCTTGTCCATGACAAAATAATAAAGATACAAATAAAATCAATAAGAAAAATCTTCGGGTAACAGTGACGAACCTGAGGATCAAACCCGGGTCGTTTACGTGGCAACCAGGTGTTTTACCACACAACCATTTGTCTGCTTGGAAATACAGTGAAAGGAACTTTCTCTGTTTATAAATGCAGTAAAATTGACCTTCATGCTTTACTAACACATGCGTCCTGTATACAGGCTTCAGAAAGCAATATGTAATATCGCAGTAATATTGTGTGGTACAAGCAGCATTGCCATCGGGTGTCAGAACAGGTGATTATAACTATCTTGTGGTTTTAAAGCAGTCACCCACTACAAACAGTATACACGTTACGGTGCTTATTCTACTAAGACCTGAGAGAGGTGCATAGTAAGTTCGAAGACATTTCACGTGCATAATTACCTTGTGGTTTAAAGCATGGTACCCATTGCACAGAATGCACTAGGGACAGCATATTGCTATCATGTTCAACTCTTAAAGGTGAAGCTTAAGGGTCCCCAAATTTTTTTTAACATGGTTTGGTGCAGGGCTCTTTAAAGGAAACCATATGCACTCACAACACTCATATGGGTGCTATCTCTGCGTTGTAAAGTGTGAACATTACTAAAGGGAATTCATGTGAATAAACAGAGATTTCTCTGAATTCATTTAAAGGTGATGAGGCCTATCCGAGGCCAAAAAGTGTAGAATAACCTTTTACCACTTCTTTACAGCTGTATGTTTTTCAGTTGTGGAATGTATGCATGATGTTGGAAAGAGGCTTTTCAAGAATACGCATTGCGATTGTCCAGGTTGGCTGGAGCAACTACGACCAAGGTCAGCGTAGCCAAGTGCAGCTAGAACAGCGACAATTGGGTCGAGGCCAACTGGAGCGGGCAGAACCGCACAGTGCAAACTGGCAACCGACACCCCAAACGTCGTGATCGCACTGCCGCACGCCGCTCAGGAGCGAACAACAACCGCAAGTGCTAACTTGTCATTACTACTACAAAGAGACTCTGCTTTTGGCACTTGCACAACGGAGGAAGAAACAAGAGGACAAATGTGGTGGGGACTGGTGGGGCTTACGAAATCTACTGTTACTTCACTGGCTTGCCTAAAAAGACGAAGAAAAAGTGAAATGTTGTGGCCGGGAGCAGGCTTTGTGCATGTCACAGGCTCTATGCACACAGTGCAGATTCACATTTGTACTATTTTGGAAATCTTAATTTTAAAGTGAGCAGATGGATTGATCTGCCTGTGTAAGAAAGAAAAATAATTTTTAAAACTTAAGGAAAGTATGTTTGACTGAAATTTTTACTAAGGAAACAGCACAGCATTTAAACACTGCTTGAAAACAGAAGCTAACACTCTCCTAAAAGCATTCATGTCAGAAGTGCCAGTGACCAGTTTCATGAATTTGAGACATTTGATGAGCCCCAGAGGATTTTCTTGTTTTTTGGAACTACTGTGATTGTAAACGGAAGTCTGACTATCATTACTGTAGTGACATCTCCCATAGTTGAAACAGGTTGGCACCATATCACAGAAAGAAATCTGTTCTATGTTACAAACATGAACCACTGTGTTGGGCAATGGTTCATGTCAGAAAAAGCTCTTATTACATTACTTAACATGATTCGTGTTCAGGGCCAACTACACATAGTGCTCAGATATGTGCAGAGAAAGATAATTACTGTAGTTATCACACGGGAAACTACAGTAGCTACTTTACTCAGCTGAAGAAAAACTCTATAAGCAGAACAATTCACTACAGTAGCAAGTGTGTAGCATTGTTTTTAGGCTTGTGCAAATAGTGAATTTTAGGTCCGAAGTGAATTCAAAGTGAATAGTGATTTTGGTTGAATAATTTCAAATCAAATTCGAACAGTATATATGACATATAAAAAAAATGGGTATATTTATCATGAGCTAACTAACCTTCACAATATGTTTGAAAAATTGAAATAAGGCGTCTATGCAAATGTCTTTTTTTTTCCTTCATAAAAAGTCGAAACAACTTTGAGTGGTAGCAGGATTTTACTTTCAATAGGATACGAGTAATTACCTGTAAAATACATAACATTTTAAAATTTATACCTAGGGTATATAAGCCGTCATAACAATCTTTTTAAGCTTAAAAAATGATGAATCGATTTGACAATAATATTTTCATTTAAAGGAACCCCGCAACACTTTTTCAAGAAGCCATGGAATGGACTCACTAAAGAAGCTTATTGCCTCATGAATTCATTGTAAATATTTTTAGAATCCGTCAGTATGAGCAGAGTTGCAAAGATTTGTAGCACGCTGCAATTGCATTTTGTCCTCTCGTCCCGGTGAAAGCACTGGAAGCTAAGCAAGAATGGATGGCACGGGGAAAGAAGATACATCACGTACCTCGTGATCTTGAGCACTTTTTCTTTCTTTTTTTTTTTTTTTTTTTCCGAATACACGGCTTCTAAGTGCGATTGCCAAGTGGCGGCTTCCCACGATGGCTCCAGTAAGAATAGAGCGCGCCGTGCTCAAATCAACCAATGGCCGATACAACGGATGGGACAAATGATTTATGAGCTTGTGGCGTCATTTACCGAGAGAAGAGAGCCATCTTTAGCTGACTTCGATTATTTATCGTGAATTGCAGGCCACGTGCTTTGCTATAATAGTTGGTTCGCGTGTTCTTGGTGGCCTCAACCACCGATCGGCAGCGTTTACTGACCAGCTCAAAAAAGTGTTGCAGGGCCCCTTTAAATGTGAAGTGAAGCTTCACTGCAGAGTGATTTTTTTATTATGTGTTTTTACTGTTAGCATTCTTACACTGCAGTGAAACCACCTTTACAAGTGGTTACATGCGGAATTATATACACCTATTCGTTCATTGCGAATACTTCAAAATTTTCGATAATTTAAATTCGAAATGAAGCAAAATCAAATACTCTACTATTTGTTCAAATATTCAAAGCATTAGAATATTTACACAAGCCTAATTGTTTTAAATACGTAGTGTATCTAAAGTAGGGTGCAGTATGCTGTTTTATTGGGAGACGCACACAGATATTTGTTTGCTCCTATTGTGAAACTGGTGTTATTTTGTCATTTGTATTTGTGTAGTTTCTTGTGTCATATAGTGTTTAAAGACATACTTTTTGTGAATATTTTTTACAGCGGTTTTTTTAAACTAGTGATACAAACATTTTTTTAATTAGATTTTTTGCTGTAAAGTGTTCTTGATATAGAATTTTGTCTCCAAATTTTAGTTATTTCTTTTTCAAAATCTGTTAATTATGAACATTTAATTCCAGCCCATTCTGTTAAAATTGTTCTTTGTGACAACTTTATATTAGACATGATGTAAATGTGCATTGATGTGCATAGATGCAAAGCTCCATAATATAACAATATTACTTCAGCAAAGGACTTGCGCACATATTTCGGTGCCAATGCATACTGCAACATGAAAAAACTGCACTTTTATGTCTCTTGGTATGATGAAATGATTTTGAAGAATTCACACTTCTTGCCATTTTGTTCAAATTTTGCTATCATTTATCATCTGAAAACAGGATATCTGAGCGCAAGTTTTCTTCAAAGTAGAAAAAAATGTGAAGTTACACTTGTTTAAGAGCTACTATCTTTTGTAAGCACCCTTCCCATATTTAATTTGCATTTGTCTTCAGACTACCTTGCTGTTCTTTACATAAAGATTTGCAAGAGTATCATATGCAACTGCAAGTAACACATGGAAGCAAAGATCTCAGCAGGTATTTTTTTTTCCAGTTTTGTCAGTCTTGTTGTCTCCTCCTTGATTCGTTGACCTCATGTATAGCATAAATCTTGATACTGGTTACTTAAAGCTCTGCTAAAAAGTTATGCACTCCTGCATTTCAAAAAGTAACTGAGGACAGTGTGCTTATGTTAAAGTCACATTTTTTCATTGTGCACCACTCTAGTGCAAATAAATTCAAATGAATCTAAAGCATCTGTGAGGCAGTGTCTCAAACATTGGACCTGTAGAGACAAGAATCTGTACATATATAAATACCGAGAAAAACTGATACTCTCACTGTATATATAACGAGCTTTTTATCATGCCTCGATGCTAATCAGGGAGATTGAATTCTGCCATTGTTGCAGTCTTCCCATCTGCCCTATTGTTAAGAGTATATATGGTGACTGGATCACCTGGGCTGCTACAGAGACGGCAAAATAAGTATCTGTAAGGCACTAAGTCATCTGAAAGCTGTAAAGACCACATTGAGAGCCATCTCACTCTCCTTTTCAGGGGAGCTGTATAACCATAGTCTGTTGCTATTTGCACCAAATTTGCTTTGTTTTCTTACTTTAGTTAGTTTGTACATTCTCTAGGGCACTGAGCCTGTTTTAATGTATACAGGTAAAGAACCTAAATGCATGATTTCCCTGCACCCCCATTTACCTGCCCACAGAAAAGAGAACTCAAAGGTGTAAAAAAAAGTAAAAGAATAAGCATGAAAAAAAAACAACCTATGTATCAATAAAGCTTGGTAGTGCATGCTGGTATGTTGAACTAGCAAGAGAAAAAAAAAAAACTTGGATGTTTAGCTTTGTAACCTTGTGCACGTAGGTCGCAAGAAATACATAGCTACAAAACAACAAAAAAAGACATAAAAGCTCAAAAATGCGTGGCAAAATAAAAAATAAAAAATAAAAGAAAGGCATTAAAAATTATCAGTGTGAAGTAACTTTCAGATGGCTTCTTCCCCTTATATATATAATATAGTGTGTCTTAGCTACTGACCAACTATTGTGGATGCATGTAGTGTTTGTAAATAACCACGTAAAACTCTCTGTATAAATGCGTACGTATGCATGCATGAGCGTATGCCAACTATGACTGCTTCTGATATGCCTTTACACTGCCATCACATATAATGAAAAATAACATGAGCAGTTTACAAAACACACCAGAGGTAAAGGCTAGCAGTGCCAGAGTTTGTAGCATTAAGAGCACCACCCTCTCTCTCTGAAACCTCAGTACTCTCCCCCTTGAAATTAACACTGTTCACAAAGTTGGGCACCTAAACTACTTTCTGCATATACGGTATACTTTTTTGCGGGTGTGCACACACAGTGTGCTGTGTGCAAATTGCCAACAGCCAAGCTCTCAGAGTGCTAAATCTGCCCTTTCTTCATTTTACTAGTCTTACTGACCATATGGTTTTAGCTTACCAACATGTGAACACTTGCTGCATGGTATTGTTGCAGTACAGCTTTGTGACCTCTAACCCACATTTCCTGTACTAAACCCATAAAGCTAGCTTTTCAGCAAACCTGCTGCTTATTTGTCCGCAGTGTATCATCTCTGCAATAAGGTGTTTGGCCAAACAAACAGGCTTTGCCTCATTGCTTTTGCGTTGGAAGATCTCTTACCTTATGACAAGCAGTCAAACAGTCGCATGGTTTGGTTGTGGTGCTGGAAGCCACAGCACCTTTGCACCTTCCTCACGAATCCGTCCCTATTATGCAGAGCTTGCACAAGAATACATAGAAACAAGATTTTAATAGTTCACATTTGCCTTTTAGGTACCATAGCTTCACTCAAGAAAGCTTGTGTTTTCAAAGTAGAATTTTTAGCTGGATGTGGATTCTGCTAAATATACTAAAAAAAAGAAAGTACCTAAAAAATGTCATCACACAGGCTTGCACAGTGCTTAAAAGAAGGCTGCTGCCTCTTGCAACTGGTCCTTACAACTGGCCAGATGGCAGTAAAAGTGACATCTTGGCTCATTCATACTTGCCTGTCCCCACCTCAAGAGGCAAGTAGAGTCATGGGCCTTGGCATGATATATTTTTGCCTCTATATTATAAGACTGTGAAAATGATTTTGCATATTTTTATTGAACTGTGGCAGATAACGGAGCGTTTTTATGCTACTGAGCTACTCCTTCAGTTATTATGCTAATAATAGTTTCACCTATAAAAGAAACGTGTATATCCAGACTTGAGAGAAGCTTGACAAGTCTAGAATATCTTATGCGTCTTCCAGTTTTCC